CGCCCTCGGGCTCCGTTTTTATGAAGCACTTCCTTCTGTTGGCGCTTTGGGAATATTCATTCTTGGCTCGCGCCCCGCACGGTTGACAGTTGGGCTGGGAAATGTACCCGCGACTTAATTAGGGCATCGCCAGACCTGCCAAGCTCCAGCTCCTCCCCTTCGCGACTGCCGCGACCCCAGGGACCCCCGGGACCCCCAGGGCCTGCCCCACGCTGTGGGAGGGCGCCTCGCTGTTCCTACGGCTGTACCATCAGGGCCCAACCCGTATGCTCCAGCTCATAGAAACCTGTCCTGGCCAAGGCAGACCGCCGGCCTGTCCCACAGGTAAGCAGTACTACTGCACGCTTTTGTTCTTTCTCTTGCTCCCTCTGGGTTGACGTCCGCCCTCTGGACATAGTCAGACTTCTGCTGGCCACAGACCACTCCAGATGCCTTCTATTCACCCTCCCTAAACCTCCTGTCCTGAAGCCTGGCGGCTGCTGTGCCCCAGGCACTGCCCTGGGCCGATAGACCTATATGGGCCACCTGCTCTGTTTCCAACATCCTCACCTGGAGTCCAGGAGGAGAGGCTCCACCTGTAGGTTTCACCTTGTTTTTGAGGAAGCTGAAGGTAGCATTCACAGGAAGGCTGGCTTTGTAAGCACTGCAGAGCTGAAAATGGACCGCATCCATCTACACGGCCAAGGGCAAGACCAGGGAAAACCTCCCACCCCCAAAAGCCCAGAGGAACACCGCAGAAGGAGGCTGGCTGGGTTGACTTGAAATGTCAAGTCAAAAAATAAATATTGAAAATTCAACTGCATGTGATATTAAAATCCCACCATTAAAAAAAACTAGAAAAAATATTTGCAACACATATGGCAAGGGGTGAGTTTCCTTAAATGCTAAAGCACTCCTACAGTCGGCGGAAAATCAACAACCCCAGGGGAACATGGGCAAACAGCAACAGGCACAGAACGCAGCCCCAAATGGCTTCCTCAGAAAAGGGACGTGCAACCTGCTGCACAATGACAGGAATGTGGAGGTGAAAAATGGCATCGTGCTTTAGGTTGTATAGAGAAACACCTTCAAGAGTGTGGCTCTGTGGGGGGCTCCCACTGGCGTGGGTGGTGAGGGCCCAGCGGAATTCAGTGACAGCCTGCACAGCAGGGGAAGAGCCTGGGTCAGGCCTCAGCACTTCCCAGCAGTGTATTCGCTGGCAGCTTACATTCTCTGGGCCTCTGTCTTCCCATATGTAAACTGAGGACCTGGGAACTGGCATTTCCTGGGAAGATGAAGATGCGGTCTCAGAGGGAAGAACCAGGGAATGCCACAGAGGCTGAGAGGGCTCTGGGGAAAGGAGGAAGGGGTCCCAATGGGGAAGGGTAGGGGCATGAGAGGGTGGGAGAGGAAGTCTTGGTGGGGGCAGACCTGGAATGGCGGAGGGAATGGGGTGAAGATGGAGTTGGCCTTGGCGACCACACTTTCAAGTTTATTTGGTGGTAGAGGAAAGAAGAGAGCCTGCAGGAGGGACAGGATACAGGTGAGAAGGGGGTTAGGATGAGGGACATGAGAATTATCTATAGACTGAAGATGGCCTAGGCTCCCAGGCCGCGGCTCTCCAGGGGCATCTCAAAGCCTGGCCCACAGCGAAGCCTCCAGGCTGGCCTTGTTTTGTGTGATCCAATCTAGCAGAAGGCCAGGTTGTGCTTGCAGGGCTGGAATGCACCCAGAGCCCCATAGAGGGATGGGCTCAGCCCAGCTTCCCAGGAATCAGCTGGCGAGGTGGCATTTATCTCAGAGCTGTGAGGATAGCAAGACCAGAGGAACAGCCCAGAGCCTGGCATGTGAAGGAGGAAGCAGAAACTCTAACCCAGGAAAGGCCCAGCACCACAGCCAAGCAGCAAGGCTAATAGGAAAACCGATTCCAGGGTCAGAAGCTGGGAGGAAGCGTAAAACGTGTGCTTACAAAAGGTGCCTGATATATGGAGGGCATTCCACTAACATTTCACAAATGCATGAACTGAGAGGAGACCTCACGCCTGAGCCCGTGAGTGCAGCGAGGATACAGAGGCATGGTGGCTGTGAGGACAGGTGCTGGGCAGGCAGCACAGGTGCGGTGGAAATGTCTGCTGCAGGCTCAGCACTCTCGAGACTGCAGATGCAACAGGCAGGCACTCTGCTCCCCAGGAAGTTGTCCTCTCAAAGGGAGGAAGGTACCTCGCTGGGGGCCTAGCAGCTGAATACAGGCTCCCTGGATTCTACAGGGTTGCTTTCCTTGCTGCCTTGGGGTACATGACTTTCACAGTGCAGGTAACTCTACTAACCTTGGATAGAAGGAGGGAAAGCTCCTGAGCCTCATAGCTTCCAGGGCCTCAGGAGGGATAGAGAGGGCAGGGGGAGAGGGAGAAACCTGGCCAGCTCTGAGCACCTGCAGACTTCCAGCTGCTATCCCTCCGTCGTGCCTCAGTTTTCCCAGCTCCCTGTGCAGATTTAGGTCAGAGCTAGAAGTATCTGATTGGCTGCTGGCCAGCCAAAGGTGGCACCCTCTACATCCACCCTTAGTCCAGTGGGCTCTGGGCTGAGCTTGTTGGGACAGGTCACATTTGAAGAGGAAATGGGATTCGGCAGGCCAATGAGCTGACATCTGGGTTGTCCTGGATGATTGGCGATTGACTCCAGAGGCTGTGTGATAGACCAAAGAAGGCTCCAAACAGGTTCAGCCCACCTGGGCTCCATCTCCTCCCTCCTGAGCTGAAGAATGCAGGGCCTTCTCCCTCCCAGCCTCAGTTTCCAAAATTGCAAAATGGAAATAATAATGGGTTTGTCACAGGTTGTTGAGAGAAGAAAATAAGAGAATAAAGAGGATAGTGCTCTGCAAACTCCAGAGCTAGAGATGAGCTGTTTTATTTCACACCCAAGGGAGTGAATGCCTTGAGTTTTACTTTCCATGAAATCTTGGTCCAGCTCCCAGCCGATGCTGGGCACAGGTCAGATCTTATACCTTCATGCACAGCTTGTGAGGGAAAATGCGCGTAAGTCTTTCTGCAGTCGGCACCAGGCTGGACCAGCTCAGCTTCAGTTGTAGCGCTGCCCCCAGAGGAAGGAAGGTGGGTGAGCCCTCTGGGCCTCAGTTTCTCCATCGGCAAAAGGGGCTTGCTGATGACTGCCTCGCCCAGCTCACACACTGCTGGAGGATTACATCACCCCTTCTCCCTGCTTGCCTTCTTTGCTCCACATTTGCTCTTCTTCCCCTGCTCCCTGGATGGTGGCAGCTGACAAGGAAGGAGCCCTTTGTGCCATTTCTATGCCCTCAGCAAACTCTCCCTCCTGCCAGGTCCTCCGAAATCCAGGCCACCTGCTTGCACAGCCTAATGCCAGATGAGAGTGCACTTTGTGTTCCTCTTTAATTGTTCCAAGTATGTCAGTTACATTTTCACAGCTGGATTCTAAACCTCAGAAGTTGTCGGTAATCTCTTTTGCCAAGATCGCAGGTGACCTCCCTGCAGGAGCAGAGCAGGCACCCGGCACCTCGGTTCAGGGAAAAGGAACAGAGCAGCTCTCAGCACCGTGCTCTCCCTGACTCGCCCGGCCCTCCCTGCCAGTTCTCGGCCTCTTGACCTCTGCACGTTCCTCACCGTCTGCACAGCCTCAGTTTCCCATACATTGCATGCCTGGGACAAAATACTCCTCTTGAGTGGGCCCACCATGCTCCTTCCTCCTGGACCCCTTCTCACTGGTCCCTGGGATCCTGGGACACCAGCAAGGAGGGGCTGTCGCTCCTGAGCTCACACCCAACTCTGCAGGCCGGGGTGCCATCTCCTACAACAGCTGACAGTGGCGCCAGCACCACTTTGGTGTCACTTTTAACACTGCGCATTAACACCACCGGCTGACTGCGCAAGGAGGCCCCGGCAGAGCCGCGTGCAGCCACACCCCACATGTGGAGTTGTTAATCCAGCAGTTGTTCAGCAGGTTCTCTGGGCCTCACCTCCAAACGTGTTACTTCTGGAGGGAAAGACGCCCACAGAACTGCACAAGCTCTCCAGGAAGGAATGACAGAACCGGCCTGTCCTCCGTCGGCCAGGAGGAGAAGAGGAGGCATTTCTGAGCAATGACATGCGAAGTTCTGGGGCCTGGATCTCTGCCACCTACACACAGTTCCCTAAATTAGAAGAATAGGAGGAAGGAGAGAACGAGGAAGAGGGAAATAGTGTCACCATACAACTTAAAATCTTTTCTTGAATCTGCAGTTTTATCTGTGCCACATGTTTTCAAAGAGTATTTTATGATGTAACGGGAAGAGAAAAAAGCAGTGAAGAAGCAAAATCACAGACGAGATGTGTCTTCGATTCTGGGAATGTGTGGGGTGGTCATAGTCACAGTGTCCCCGGTCCCACTGCCCATTGCATCCAAGCACCCTGGGAGACTTTCCTTCCTCGCCCCTTGATATCGGGATCGTGTGACTTGTTCTGGCCAGTGACACGCGAGGGAAGTAACCTGTGACACTTCCTGGTGACAGTGTTCAATTGCTAGTGCTCCCCTTCCCAGCCTGCTCTCCCCTGGCCTAAGGAGCCATGGAAATATGTATTGATTCTGAAGACCCAGAAGCTCAAAGGAGCCTCTATCACTGAGCCAAAGTATGGGAAACAGCACCTGAGAGGCACCCGGACTCCTGGGATCTGGGCATAAGCAGAAAGTGAACCTCTGTTCTGTGAAACCGCTGAGACTTTGGTACAGTTTTCCCTAGAGCATGAGCTATATTGACTGATATAGTAAGTATACAAAGTAGATGGGAAAATATTACTGAGAAGCATTGCAGTGACTGGAAATTTTTATTTTTACACTTTTCTAGATTTCTCCAGCTTTTTACAGTCAGCATGTATTACTTTTATGATGCTTAAAAGTTCCCAGTCTTATGCATAGCTAGCTTTTTTGAGTAAATAAATGTGTCCTTGGTACTGGGCTGTGTCTTCTGCTATGTCATCTCATTTAGTGCTTTGAAAACACTGAAAGGATTTTCTCATTTTGCAAATGAGAAATTTAAGTTTTAGAGGGATTAGGTACCAGGCATTCTATACATATTATCTCATTTATCTCTTCAGAGGCTCAACATATTTTCTACCAGTTTTAAAGGGAAGGCTTGGGGAAAATGCCCACAGTTAGTCACTTAGGAGTTGAAGAAAGTGAAATTAAAACCACCACCATCACAACGGATATCCTTTACGGGATGTTTTTATGTGCCAGGTCTAGGCATGGTCTCACTTAACCTTTCAGTAACCCTACAGTGTGGGTACTAATATTATTCTTACTTTCTAGGTAAAAAAAAAATTGGAGGCCCAGAGGGACTGAGCAGCTGGCGTAAGGCCACATAGCTAGCAATCTGTAGAGCTGGGACTGGTACCTTGGTCTGCCTAAATTTTGGTGAGCTCATTTTGCTAAGAATGGGGGTGGTACTTTGGCAGGGCACAGTGGCTCACGCCTGTAATCCCAGCACTTTGGGAGGCCAGGGTGAGTGGATCGCCTGAGGTCAGGAGTTCAAGAATGGGGGTGGTACAAAAGGTGATTTTTAGGTAATACCATTTTAGGCAAGAAAATTTTTAAATTTCTAATTTTATAAAAAAATTATATGTTCAAAATTTTAAAAGTCAAATGGTGCAGCAAGGCAGGTAATGAAAAGCACCAGTCCTGCCTCTCCTCAGAGAAAGCTACTTCAAGTCTTTTAGCTGTTCCTGCTGACATTTACTTTCATATTTCTAAATATCATTCTCTAGATGTATTTTTTTGGGGGGATATTATGTATTGGCTTCCTCCTGTGGAAGATTGCTGGTTCTCCACCAGCCACCATACACAAACACACACTTTCCCTTCCAAGACAGTCCTATCTCAGTCGCTAAATCAACGCTCAGTTTTTACCGTATCATATCTACATATAGATTATTCACAGCTAAACAAGGGACTGTATTACGGGTACAGTTGCTGTCTTGTACAGCTTTTTGTTTTCCCTGGAGTTAGTAATTACCTCAGTTTTTAATGTAATTAGTTTTTGCTGTAAGATTACTAATTCTTCCCACAAACGGTGACAATAAAACTCTAAAATTTCTAGTAATGTAGTCAAACACATCTGGCAACCTGTGAGTGCGATTTTTCTGGGAGCCCTCCTGCTCCTACCTGGATGAGCTATTCTCCTGGCCATTGTAGTAGAAGTAGTGAAATTTCTCTTCACCGTTACCCTGGAATTCCCTTTCCCTGTCCTGTGTGGGTGCCTTGTTTCTTAGATCCTAAGTCGTCATCTTTCTTGCTTTACCCCCTTCATTTTGTTGTAATATAGACGCCAGTAGCTTCCTTGGAGACTGCATATGGGAGTTCAGTTTTTGGATAATTGATTGACAGTTTGGCTGGAGGTATAAATCTCAGTTGGAAATCATCTCCCCTCAGAATTCTGAAGGCAGTTCTCTATTGGCATGTGGTGTTCTGGGTTGATGTGAAGCAGTCCGATGCCATTCTGATTCTCGATCTTCATTGTGTGACTTTTTCAGTCTCCGAAGCTTCTAGGATTGTCTGTTTATCTTTTGTTTTTAAAAAACTTTTTCATAACATTTAATACTTATTCTGAAAAAATGCTTTTAATAAGTTAGACTAGATGGATAAGTCCATTTATCTATTTTAGCCCAGTCATCTGTTTTATATCTAGAATAAGCCAGAGGGGAGATAATTTCCACACTGTCATCACCATCATCACCACTGTTCTGGAGGATTAGCCAATGCTCCTGGAAAGAGGTATCCGATTGGAGAGGAAGAGGTAACTTACTGCTGATTGAAGATTATTTGACCATTTACATGGAAAACCCTCAAGAATCAACTGAAAAAGTGATTGAAAATGACAAAATAACTGAGTAAGGTAACTGGATTCAAAATTAGTGTTCTATTATCAATGGCCTTCAAATACACAGACAACAGCCAGAACTGAAATATAATGGATATAAGACTGCATTTGCAAAAGCAACCTAGAAATAAACTTTTTAAAAATGTGCAAAACCATTTTAAATGCTGCCAAAGGATACAAATGTGAACTTAACACCACATTCTTGGGTTAAAAATCTCAACATTATAAGGATGCCAGTTCTCCTAAATTAAGCTACACATCAACACAATCGCAATGAAAATACTAACAGAATTTCTTGTGGAACCATACCAGTTAATTTTAAAGTTGATATGGAAAAATACACATTCATCCAGGAAAAGTTTGAAAACAGAAATGTAAAAAGCAGAGATAACCCCATCCATTATTTACTTGTATTTTAAATCTATTATAAAGCTAAAACAATTAAACCTATGGCACAAGTACATGAATAGCTATATAATTCAGAAATTACTAGAAGTCACCCAATATATATAGGAAGTTACCATATGATCCAGTTGGCACTTAAAACAGGATTTATCCATATTTGGTATTGGAACAATTGGCTACCCATCTGTAAAAGAAATTAATTTAGATCCTCACTTCACATGTTATACCAAAATAAATTCTACATGCATCAAAGGTTTAAATGAATTCCTTAAAGAACCAGAAGAAAGCAGGGGATATGGGAATGATCATCTATTGAGACTTTACTTCCGCTCAAGGCCTGGTGACATAAGCAGGCCCAGCTCATGGATTGCTGGCTGAATAATGGATTGACTGACTCTCGGGTCCTGTACTAGATGCTGTAGCAGTGGCTGCCAATTGCAGGCACTGGACTAGATTTCCCACATGTCTTAGTCCATTTGTGTTGCTATGAAAGAATACCATAGGCGGCCAGGCACGGTGTCTCGTGCCTGTAATCCCAGCACTTTGGAAGGCTGAAGCAGGCAGATCACAAGGTCAAGAGATCGAGACCATCCTGGCTAACATGGTGAAAGCCCGTCTCTACTAAAAATACCAAAAATTAACCATGTGTGGTGGCACACACCTGTAGTCCCAGCTACTCAGGAGGCTGAGGCAGGAGAATCACTTGAATCCAGGAGGAGGAGGAGGTTGCAGTGAGCCGAGATGGCACCATTGCACTCCAGCCTAGCCAAACAGGAGCAAAACTCTGTCTCAAAAAACAAACATACCCAAGCACTTTACCGAAGAGGCCTGGCCTGTGCCCGCCCTTTATCTGAGAGGCCTGGCCGCTGCCCACCTAAGGGATCCTTTGCTGTCACTCTGTGCTCTCTTGCACTCCAAGCCACGTGGCCTTGGGCGTCTAGAATCAGCCAAGGGCTTTTTCTCACCTCAGGGCCCTTGCACTGGTTGTTTCCTCTGCCTGAGACACTGTTCCCCTGACTCCTTAGCTGGCCAGTTCCCTCCTCATCCTTCAGATATCCTCTTAAATATGCTTTCCCAAAAGAAGTCTGGAATATGCTCCTAGAGGCTGAGGGACAGCAGAAATGCTGACTCCCACGGGGTCCCCCGGACCATGGAAAGAGGAGTCAATTTCTGAGTGCAAAGGGAAACCTTTGAAGGGCTGGGGTGTGGGTGGGGCGATGCAGCAACTGGATCTGATTTACCTCCTCCTGAAAGGCTGCAGCACCCCCATGGGAAACCACAGGGCCGGAGTGGCAACCGGGGAGAGTTGGGGCGCTTGTGCAGGTGACATGTGCAGAGGAGCGCAACTGGAGAGAGCTCATGGGGTATTTTGGAACCCACAGGGCATGCAGAAATGCTGGAAGGAGTGGGATGAGCGCCACAGGCAGCAGGGAAAAGAGTCAAGCGGGGTGGCACGGTTTCCAGCCCCAGCAGGGGATGGGAGGTGGTACCAGTTTCCTAAGGTGGAGACCCAGGAAAGGTACAAAGCAGGTGTGCTTTGGAAGGACCAGTTCTGGCGCAGCCCCTCTTCCTCTCGGCCCCCTTCCACCGTGCGCCTGGACACAGTGTGAGGGCGCAGGGCCGCGCGGGCATCCCCAGCTCCGTGGCTGCGGCTCAGGTCTGTGGGGAGGCCTGGATCGCGGCCGGGTGTCCCCGCGCCCCCCCGCAGCCCTGGCAGCAGCACCGCCAAGAGCAAGAGCACTCCCATGACCAGGTAGGAGGCGGGTCCCACCTGCGAGCCAGTGAGCCACTCAGCCTCCTTGGGAAGGGCGAGGGTCAAAGTGGCACCCCACGCGGCGGGGCTTGGGGGGCTGGGGAAGAGCGTGAAGGCCTATCCTCCGCGAGGCTTCGGGCGCCTCAAGGCAGGGTTGGGGGGCAGGGCGCGGGGGCTTTGTTTGCGCGGAAACGCCTGGCCCCGCGCCGGTGCAAAGGCCGCTTTGTGCCCGCGGCCGGCGGAGGTGGGGGCCCCCTGCCCCGGCCCGGCCTGCGGCCCCGAGGGGGCGCCCGCCACTTCGCCGCCGCCAGCGCTTGGCCCGGGGCGCCAAAGGGCCTGCCTCTTAATTGTTCCCAGAACCGGTGGCATTTAGGACAATTAATATGCAAAACAGGAGTAAGTCATCTCATTCGCGGGCCCCACGCGGGGCGGGGAGCAGAGGCATTTGCTAGGCTGCGAGGTCGCGGCCCCCGCCGCGTGTTTATCTGGGGAAATGGAAATCAGGTGGCGCACAAAGCCGCCCCGCGGGTCCGGCCGCGCCCTCCGCTGCCCGCGGCGGGGTCGCCGGCGCCCGTCTCGACTTGCGGCCGGGGTGGGCAGATCGGCCGGCAAGCCTGGGGTCGCCTCTGGCCCTGCAGCCCGGAGGCTGCGCACCATCGGGCCGCCCACCGCCCCTCTCTGGGCCACCACGCCCAGCTGGTATACCAGGAGTTCTGTTACGACAGAAATCAGTTCCCAGGAGAATCATACGACTCCCTAAGTGCTTCAGATCAGAGCTCGCGTGCTCCTGACCCTTATGCTACCGAGCCTTGACTGGAGTCCAAAGCCTACTTGCATTCCTGCATTTAATCCTCAAAATCGCACTAAGAGGCAGGTGATTATTTCCATTGTTCACCTAAAGAAACCGAGGCAGAGAGGTGAAGATCGTCACCGGGCCGGGACCAAGCACTTCCCCATTACGGTGTGAGCCCCAGGCCTTTGTTATTTCACCCGGCAGCTCCCTCCGCTAGGGAGACCGGCCCTTGCAGGCAGAGTTCTGTGAGCCTGCTACTACTGCACCATCCTACTCATTCTTCCCGAATTCCAGAAACGTAACGGTACCCACTGTGCACCTGCGCTCTTCTAGACTCGGGGGGTTCCGCAGTGAACAAAACAGGAGATTCCAGCCCCGCAGGACACCAGTGAGGGCACCTCCAGGAGAAGCCAGCAGGGTGACTGCGACTGGCCCCTCGAAGGAGGTGACACGTGAGCAGACAGCTGGTGGAGGTGACAGAGGCTTCCAGGCAGAGGCAATGGCCTTAAGGCTGCAGTATAAGGAGGCCAGGGAGGCCGGTGTGTGGAGCCAAGGGGGAGGGATGGAGACAAGGCAGAGGTGGCCCGGGCTGGCCACTGGGGGTGCCGGCTCCAGCTCCATCTGCACACTGAATTCTCTGGATTCTCTTGGTCTGCAGACAGCCTGTGCGTGGGGAATTGTAAAGGTTTCTGCTTGGCCCAGCCTGGTTCAAGTGGCCCCACCTTGGGCTAATTGGCAACAGCCAGGGGCAAGTCACATACTGGACACACTCCCATCAGCTGGACACCCACCCCAATCGATACCCACTACGCAAGTGGCCCCCAAACCTGAGCAGCAGGCAAAGTTGAAAGCAGTCCAGGGAGCCAGGGTCCAAAAGCCAGAGACATTTCTGAAGGTTGTCAATTTGTGAGGATTGGTACAGATCCTGGAACTGAAGATGTGGATAACCTATGTGCACTGGGGCCAAGGGATAAGGGCATCAGGTACCTAGACATGATGGAGGGGTGGGGGGAGGGGGGCCCAGTGTCAGGCAAACAGGAAATGTTCAGAGCTAGGTGTGATATCTTAACAAAATCACCAGTCAGGAGAAGTTGATGATGCTGGTCCCGTGCAGTTGCTTCTATAGGAGTTCATGGGGCAGGGATTACCAGAGGAGAGTTTGCAAATCTTTTCCTATAGGACTCCTTCTCTATGGTGACAAGCTTGGTCGTCAGTCAGCTACCTGGAGAGCCTGACTTTTCCCCTCTCTTCCCACCCCTACCACATGCTCATCAAGCCAGCCCATTCTTGCTCCTTAATGCCTCTTTCCCCATCCCTTCCTTTCTATTTCTGTGGTTCTGTTTTGGTGAAGACTCCTATCAGCCGTCTTTGGATCGTTGCAGCGGCTTCCTCCCTGATCATCCTGCTCTCACTCTTGCCTTCAATTCACACTCCAAATAGGGCACCACAGGGATCTTCCCCCATGAACTCCTACAGAAGCAACGGCACGGGACCAGCATCATCAGCTTCTCCTGACTGGTGATTTTGTTAAGATATCACACCTAGCTCTGAACATTTCCTGTTTGCCTGACACTGGGCCCCCCTCCCCCCACCCCTCCATCATGTCTAGGCACCTGATGCCCTTATGTGTGACACCACCTCAGCTCTTTCCTCTCTGGGCTCAGTTCTCTGGCTCTGCAATGTGGACTTTGGCCAGGATAGTGAATGCCCATGGTCCACACTGATTCTCAAGCCTTGTGCAAACTCTTCCGAACACATACGTCTAAGTTGCCACCCTGGTTAAAATCTTCTATAATTAACAACACAAACCTATTAAAACATGGGGCAAAGGAGTTAGGCATTTCTCCAAAGAAGATATACAAGTGGCCAGCAAGCACATGAAAAGATGCCCATCACTCGCCTTTAGGGAAATGCAAATCAAAACCACAATGAGATAGCATTTTGCACCCATGAGGATGGCTACTGCCTAAATGTGGTCCATTGCATAAATATATTCCTTCTCCTGTTGAATGAGCTGTTTCCAGTTTGGAGCTACTATGAATAAAGCTGCTGTATGTTGGGAGACAGCTCCCTGTGAGTCTCCTAATTCTGCACATCTTATGAGTAAGGCACGGACTGACCTATCTTTTCATGGATGTTTGTATTGCAAAAAGCTTTGGAAGATCAAGTGTCTCCCTCTGGAGCAAAGGGAAAGCATGCTTGCCTCCCGTTATAAAAGATCCGGGTTCCCTAAGCTCAGGGTTCCTCTCCTGTAATGCAATTTGCTCCAAGTGTGGTATCTGCCTGGGTCCATTCACATTGTCCTGTGGGACCTGGGCAAAGGGAACTGATGCAAATATGCTGATACACTTGCTGCTTGTGGTGCTGTAAGGAATAACATCTTTGTCTCTGACTCATGGTTCTCGAATCTTCTGCCAGCCTCTCAAAGAGCCTAACTCATTACCTTTCAAGTTGGGTAAAATTTCAGACCTTTTATAGTTCTTGACACTAAATATTCAAGTGTTTCTGTGAACATATATATCTCCACTTCTTCTTTCCCCTTCCACCCTGCTGCCTGGAGTACAGACCTGGTGGCTGGCACTCTGGTGACCATCTTGACCCATGAGGACCAGCGATGTGGTGGATAGAAGGAGCATGGGTGCCCAAGGCCTTTGCAGATCAGAATGACTATAGTGGCCCTGGAATTTTACAGGAGGAAAAAATGAC